ACAGGAAGACCCTGATGAAGAAGATTTATTCGCGGTCGCCCTAAGTCCGAGGTCACCGGACGGACCAAAGAGTCCGTTCTCGATATCGAGCGCAGAAGTCGGTGCATTTGCAAAGATCAAGGGCGAGCGGTGAGGAACACGCCACCTTGATGATGGTCACGACTTGGTTTACAGCAAGAGACGATTGATAACACGATACTAGAAAACTATTTGAAGACTGCATAGAGTTGGAATTCCAGCCCCAGATCATGAAAGCCACGACCCTTTATGTCCAACATTCACCCGCAATATTCAACTGAGCTCCCAGCTGCCGAGTAGCCGCGATGCCTCTTCCACTTAGCTGGTGCCAGCAACATGCGTGCAAAGCACTCTTGTAAAGATGCCCCCTTCTAGAAAATAAACATGACGAGATGAAATTCGAGGAACCACAAGAAAATCATGCAAACATGGCCGCCGCAAGCAATCCCCCCACAACTGCCATCACCGAGCCACCCAGTTGATTCGCGTCACCCTGGAATGCCGATGATGAGGGAGCCGGTACGCCAGCAGATGACGGAGCAGATGGCGAAGGTGGCACGTTTCCTCCGGGCGGAGCTGTGTAGCTGGCGCAGCCACTTCCAGGACATTGAACAGTGGTAGGAGCTGGGGCCATGGCGGTTTTGGTGCATCCGCAGACCTCGTCGTACCAGGTGTACTGGGTGCCAGCCAACCCTGAGCCGGTTGCGGCAGCTGTCGCGGGCAACTCGGATGTCTTTGTGCAGCCGCATTCGTGGTCCCAATAAGTGACGGTCACGGTGGGAGCTGCAGTTGCTGTGGGATCGACAGTGGCAGAGATGAGAGTGGCCGTGACGGTAGCATTTGGCATTGGGGTTGTCATGGATGTGGGCAACGTGGTTGAACTGGACGATCCTGCAGCAGGAAGGCTGACGCTGAACAGAGGCGAGAAGTCCATGGCACCGCTCTGAACCAAGGCCAGCGCATAGTTGCCAGCAACAAAACCATCCGGGACTGCGATTGTCCAGTCATACTCTGCGTCGGTGGCAGTTTTGTTTTCTGTGCAACATCCGTCAGTCAGTGCCAGTCATATGTGAGGGCGCGTTCAACTCACCGAAGATCGGGGTATTCCAGCTCGTGTTCCCCAGGAACAAGGAGACAGGTGTCCCATCGCCCACGGTCCAGTGGATGGGCCAGACTTGCCCGACAGTGACGGCATTCCACGCCATATCCGGGGTGAAGGTGGCTGTTTGGGCCATGGCCTTGAAGGCGAAGGTGCCAGCGGCGACAAGCGAGAAAGAACGCATGGTTGCTGTGGGATATGGTAGTTTTCGGGATGGCAAATGAAGTCTTTTCGGCCGTGAAAGATGTGAGATGAAGTGTTGGAAAATTGCAAGGGCAAAGGTTAACGAACGACAAGAGTTTGAAGGAGTGACTGAAGAGAAGAAAGAGAAGATGAAAGAATCGTCGAGGCACGAGCGGCAGAGCCACGTAAATGAAGGTGGCCGGCCATGCCAATGTTTGTTGTTGCTGCTGGACGAACACGGCGCATTCCAGTGAGGAATGGGGGTCGCATCAAGGGTGGTTGTGATTTCGACGCTCGCACACGACGCATTCCTGGGACGGTGGACGCTCGACAAATGACAAGACGGATCAACTCTCGAAGCCCAGACGATCAGATCGACAGCTCTGATCTGGAGTTGCATATGGTCGTCTAGGCTCTGGCATGTCGCCTCAGCTTGGAATGAGATGGGTAATCAGATTGCACCACGACCTGAGGGCCAGCCACTGCGGGAGTGGGTTTCAGTTTGTTCCTCGGATTTACCCGTCAGTTGTCTCCTGCAGCAGATGAGATATGAGATCCGAGCGACATGCCTTGACCTGTGGCCAGGCTACCATGGGGAGGCAATGATTCGAAAGGACAAAGGGGGCTCTCAACTGATAGACATTCGTACGACCTTCCATTACATAAAATGCTGGGTTACGACCTGGTAATCTCTCACCCGGGCCCGGCGATCTCGCACCCACAGCTCAACAAGACTTTGGTTCTCCTGCCATCATTCATCGCAAATCCAGGTCCTCTCTCGCTTACTCCGCAGCGCCATGAGCACCTTCTCCTCCGGGCACCATGGCGATCGTCCCCCTGGCAGTGCCGGAACCGACTAACCCGTCCTTCGAGACTCATACGTGATGCCGCGCTCGTCCTCGTTCCAGATTTCAGATGCCTCAGCAGGAAGGGTACGGTTCTTGAACCAGAGTGATTTGAAAATGACATTGAAGAACTTGGTAAGGATTTCGCGCAATGTCTTCTGATCCTCGGGAGTGCGTGAGTGAAAAGAAAGCCACGTCGTCGACCACAGTATTACCGTGCCTGCAGATCGTCGGCCACACACCCATCCAGAACGGAGGCCATTCCGATCCCACTGCCGGGTGTTGTGTTTGCTGGCTGGCTGGCTGGCCGGCTACAACAGAGCCACAACGCCGACGAGAGCCGCGGGCACAAAGACGCCTGCGGCCGACAGTGCTGCCGCCGCATTACCAGAGTCCCCTTCACCCGTCGCAGCTGAGCCATCAACCGATGTCGATGCCGTCCCGGTGGTCGCCGCGGACCCCGACCCCGTCTCCGTCGCAGAGGCGAGGGCCGTGCTCGCCTCGGAGATGTACGAGGAGACGAGACTCCCCGCGTCGCCGGTTAGGGACAAGGCGCTGGTGGCGCTCTGGATGGCCGACTCGATGCTCGTGATGAGCGGCTCCGTGGCCGTGTCGGTGCCGATGGCCGACACGACGCTCGAGACGAGAGAGGTCGCGTCCGCCAGGAGCGAGTCGAGGTCCTGCGCGCGGGCGAGGGGGCTGGCCAGAGCGAGGGTGGCGAGGAGGACGCTGGGGAGACGCATGTTGGTTTTTGGGTGCAAGTGTTCTGGTATTGATTGATTGATGGAAAGGGAACAGACGGTTAAGGTGATTGATCGGTGTTGTCTGTGGTGTGTGGTGTGTGGTTTCTGATAATCCTTGCCAGCAGGACTTGTTAAGGAGTGAATGAGTGAGTGAATGACTCAATTAGACGGACAAGGACAAGGACAGACTAGAGTTGGTATGAGAGTCTGAGGGTATGAGATGGGGATATCAGAGAGAGAGAGAGAGAGAGAGTGTGTGTGTGTGTGTGTGTGTGTGTGTGTGTTGATGAAGAAAAAAGGAAAAAAAAGGAGAAAAGGAGGGATTTTTCAAGGCGAGGGAATACGGGGGGGGGGGTTTGTCAATGGTTTATATATTATCAAATCCTTTCTCATCGGCCCCCTTACGAGTGAGTACCAGGTACAATAAATCAATCGGAAGTTGGGATCTTCCCTGCCCAAGGTTTCTTTTCTTCCTTCGTCTATTTTCTTCACTGCCTCACTGCCTCACTGCCTCGATTCTCGCTCTTTGCTCGCGTCTCATCTGCTAGTACCTAGTCCCTAGTACCTAGTACCTTACTCCATGCTGGCAAACTATCTCCGCTGTATCTTGGCGTCCTCCCCTCCCAATGAAAAACAGTCGAAGAAAAAGGGCCCCAAATTAATCTTGTATACCTGTATGGGAACTGGGCTGATCGTTGTCTCCGCATGGGGGCGTCCAGGGTACCATACGAGGAAAGGAAGGGAACGGTTCGCGTTTGATGTGCAGGGGATGGAAGAGGGGGGGGCCAGGAACGAGGTCCCCCTTGTCGTCGTTGGGATTCGTTGAAAATTCTCCGATGATCTGGGCTGTGGGCAGTGGGCACCAGGGGTTTGGTGACCTTGGTGAGAAGATCACCGAAGATCAGGGAGACGACTTGTGAAGATGAGGTACCAAGAGGTAACTACAGTAAAGATGTACTATGGTACTATGGTACTATGTGCTACTCCGTGTATGTCGTGTACTTTGTACAGTACTTTCCTGGAAATGGGGGTATCTGGCGCATCAACCCAGGAAAATCCCATCAACTTACTTGGTGCCTGTTCGGTTATCAGGACACTACCATTGAGGATGTACCGAGTCCGAGTACGAGTCCCTGCGAGCAAGGTATTATGTAGGTACCAAGAAGTCCAAGCCCTGCACGGTCAAGCCCCTACGAGGTTTGAAAATTTCGAGACAAAAGGAACCATGAGAAAACTTTGTCTTCTGTTATGTTTTAGAACCTGTCCATCAAGGCTCGCAAGGCCCCCGACAAGCGTGTTTCAGGACCATCAACCCCACGCACCCCTTAAATCCCCCTCTCGCCTCTTGGCTGGAGAAGGATCGGCGAGGCTGAGTCTCTACATCATGTTTTTACTAGTACTTAGTGTTAGGAGGGTGATGTGACGTCATCGGTAGTGGTGGTGGTGGTGGGACCAATCATGACACAGCACAGCCTCGAGCGCAGAGCAGCGTAGCCTTGCGATGGGGCGTGTGAGGGGGAAGGGGGAGAGAAAGGTAATTTCCGGGTGGAGGAGGAGCGTGACCACCTCTCGCTAGGGGTATTTACTTACATATGTAGGTACGGAGTGTGGAGGTACCCGCGTATGATCCCCATCATGGACATCAATATGAGTTTCATCATGGAGAGGAAACACGTGTTGGTGTATTGAATATATACGTACCTATATACTCGCATGCCACATACGCATACGTACACCAGATACACATCACGACAGCCACCCCTCAAAGAAAAGATCACGCGCACAAAATCACACTCTGTTGGGATATGAGTCTACTCGTACTCCATAAGTACCGGTACTGTAGGTATGCCGATCAAGTTTCATGCTCCCCTCTGGCACACACGCGGTCGCCGGCTACGAGCAGATCATCAGTCAGTCAGTCTCGCAAATACTTGTACTGAACAAAGATCAGCGAGATTGAAATTGCTACCCATCAGCCAACTGGTAACGACTCATAATACCTCTAAAAGATTAACTAGTCTACCCGATACAAACAGAATGAAAGACAATTCCATCCACGCTTCTCTCTTCTCGCGCAGGCCTGGCTACCTCAGCCCATCGCTCTCCTTTTTACTACGGTCGGCGAAAGTCCACACTCACAGTGTCAGAGTCCTCGGAATCTTGACCCACGACGTCCGGACTGCTGGCCCTAACCACCGGACGAGGTACAGCCAACGGCACTGGATTCGGTTGCACCCTTGGCAACACTGGCGCTGGTGAATGTATCCCTCGTGCGATCCTCGCCTGTCGCCTTGCTTCTTTCCTCTTCTGCTTCTCCTGACCTCGCCTAGCCCGCTTGGTCAAGTTATATATTTGGAGCGCGTGGTCCAAGTTGAACCCTTTTGGTCGACTCCGAGCTGTCAAGTTTCCGGTGATATGGCGATACCCTTCGTCGGCCCCATGACCAAGGTGATTGCCTTCTTGGTCGAGCGCCATGAGTTTGTTCACCAGGTCGGCCTTGAGCCATCTCTTCTTTCCCAATGCTTGTTCTAGGTTGGTGAATCCGCGGTTTCGGAGTTCCCGCTCCAGCTCGTCCACAAACATCAGCTCGTATTCCTGCCGAGTCGGAACAATCCTGTGGCGTCTGGGTGAAGTTCGACGTCTCGCCAGCCGTGCTGTATCAAGCGTCGAAGGGGTGTTCTGGGAGTCTGACTGACTATCGTCAGTGTCCTCTTCTTGATTGCCTGTCTGATCCGCCGCTCCACTTCCATGATCATATTGCTGCTGCCTGCCTGGGGCGTCCTCGGTCTCGTGCACCTGGGCGTACTCCAGGAAAAGATGTCGTAGCTCCCTCACTGCTACAATGAGCCGGTTAAACTGGTGGCGGAACCCAAGATTGGTTCGCAAGTGCCTGTCGTCAAAGAACTGGTACAGTCGACCATAATGTTGTCGCACGTCCCTGGCCGCCCTTCTGCAGAGCATGACCGTGGCAGGATGGTCCGGGTTTGGATGTCGGGTGTCATTTCGCGATACCGTTTCCATGAAAGGCGGCGGGCCGGGCTCCAGCAACACGAGATATTGGTCTCGCAGCTCCATAATCCTGTCTGCCAATCCATCCATTATCATATAGACGTCCCGCCGTACCGACTCATTATTAATCCAATTCGGCTTTTGCGCATACATGGCTGTAACAGCTTGATGGAGGAATCCGTCGATACCAAGATCACTCAACTCGCCCTTGTAGCCCGGGTCCGTCTGAAACACTTTGGCTATATCTCGATTGTCGTCGTCTCGTGGCTCTTCCCTGGGTGGTCGTCTGATATGGGGAGTGTGACCTGCATCCTGACTCGCGGCCTGCTCCTCATTCTCCTCATTCTCCGTTTCATTCTCCTCTTGACTCCCCTTTTCACTCTCCTCTTCACTCGCCTCTTCACTCACCTCTTCACTCACCTCTTCACTCCCCTCTTCACCTTGCTCATCACCCTGCTTATCATCTTGCTCGCCATCCTGTGCCACAACCTGGTTCATAACCTGATCCACAACCTGGGTCACAATCTCATTCACAGTCTGGGTCAGCGCCTGGACCACTGCCTGTGTCATGGCATGGACTACAGCCTGATTTGCCTGCAAGCTCGGATTCTGATTCGGCCCACCATCAGAGGCCTCGTCCTCGTGGATATTGAACGGTGGCGGCGTTCTGGGTTCCACAACATGCGCATGTCTACACACGTGGTGGTATTGGCCTGCAAACCTGGGGCAAGGGTGACAGCGTGAAGAACATGGTTCAGGAGCAGGAGAGCTGTGAGGAGGTCGAGACAGCTGGGAGGACCTAGGTCTATGGTTTTCTCGATCGGAACTTGGTCGAGGGCTGTCTTCACCGGGGTTATCATCGTCAGGGTCCGCTGCCGTGGGAAGTTCGCCCAGTACTGGCCTGGTGGGAGGCTGCCCAGCACCATGATAGTAGTGGTTAATGCCGTCATAGCCACTGCCTGGGGGATAATCAAACAATCCAGCACCGGATTCGGCGAGAGTATCCATTCTGTAAGCATATACTTCTGTGTTGTGATCCATAGAATTCTGGTCAAGAAGTCGTGGACGCTGGCCAGTCCGGCTCTCAGGTTGATGAGAGAAACGAACGCGTCGATGTTGCTCATCAGCGGTGTCTCCGGCCGGGCTAACGATTCTGTCACTCACTACCGAGTATAATTTTACGGCCTTGCCAACATCGTAGGTCGTTTGCTTCAACAGCCGTAGCATTTCGTCTTCGTCGGGATGAATGTCGGCCCCATAAATGCCGTTAAGCCTCCTTCGAAAGATCTCTATCGCCAACCGTCGATATGCTAGTGGATCGAAAGTACTTCTTTTCCTGTGCAATTCTGGCGCTAATCGTTGAGGTGGAGGCCCTCCTCCACGAAGCTTGAGACTTGGACTTGCGACAGAGGTGGACTTGCGCACTCTTGCTTTTGGGTCAATGGGACGAGGCCGTGGTTTCAATGCAAGTCTTTTCGAAGGACGTGAAGGAAGAGTGTTGACTTTTGGGCGGTTCACATCAGAAACACGGCGTCTCTGTGCAAGCAGTTGCCCTATCGCTGAGCGGATCCATTCAAATGGACTGGATAACCTGTTGGACACTGAGACATCGGCAGGATCGCGAGCATGAGGGGGAGGTCGATTGACGAGAAAGTCGGCTCGTGGACCATCTGAGACTATTCCGGGCTGGCCCATCTCTCTGGAAATTTGCTCGTGCTGGACAATTTCATGAGCCCGTGTCTCGGGAAAAGGGTAGTAGACATAGTCAAACGCGCTTTTCATGTTGATCCCCTCAGGATATGGGAACAAGCCTTTCGACTGCTTCTGTGCGGCACCTGCAAAGGACTCGGCATCGTCAAGGCCGGCAACGGACGAGCTCGATCGTGCACTCAAGGGGACAGTCGAGTGGTCAGGTAGCCCTTCAGCAGTGTGCATCGAGACTGGGGAGAGCACATCCAATTCGTCAGTCTCCCATTCTCCGTCGTCGACATCATACTGCCATCGTCTGACCTTGACCGGCCCTCCGCTAATCGTGTTGAACCGCGAGGCCGCGAAATGAATCTTGGAGAGTGTGCTTGTCTCGAATTTCCCGGTCTCAATGAATTCTCTCAACGCTTCTTTGGTGTGGCTTTCCAAAGGCGCGTCTCGTGGTCGCTGAAGGGACTCGTATTTGTTGCTTGGGTCGACTTGACATTGGAAGATGTATCGGCAGTATTTTCCAACCATATCTTCGATACTTCTGGGATTGGCTGCATCCGGTGAGCTGATCAGGCGCTTGAATTCACGATATACTCCAGGCAGCTCGAAGAATATGCGATCGCGCTCGATGTTGGTAGGAGATGTCGGGACTGCCCCTTGGTCAAAAGAAGTAAAGACAGTCTTCAAGCCTCTCCAGATCAGGAGCCACAACTCCTTCTGTTCGGAATTGTAGGTTGCATTCTGGAACACCCCATGTAAGCGAGCGCAGCGGTCCGACAATTCGGTCGCTGCACCACTAGACAAGAGCAGTGGGATACTATCCTGATCGGACTCTAGCAGCACCAGCAAGGCATAACTTGAAGATGCGGTGCGCACATCCAACAAGATTGAAGTAAACACTGATTCCGTCACGGCCGCTGGGTGGTGCTTGAGCTGTGATTCGATCTGCAGGAGCTTGTCGACGAGGGCGCGATGAATAGCTTGAGCCCAAATGCTGACGAAAGTCTCGTACCGTTTTCTGAAAGTCTTGAGCACGCTGTGAACCACAGGGGAAGAGATCACCTCTTCGGGCAGTTCCATGACACTTTGCAGCGAGGCGTGAATGAGTCTGATGTCTTGGAAGATCGTTGACGGTCCTTCGATAAGCGTCTCATCAGTCCACTGCAAGAAGTAGTCGATCATGTGTGCCATCATATTCTCAACTTCTTCCGGCGAGCTGTCACTGTCGATCTCTGGTAGCTCGAGGACCTCCGCCGCGTCCTGCTCTGGTGGAATAAATCGATTGATGGACGCATGTCGACCGGCTTCGAGTCTCCTGATGACTGAGCGTAACCGTCCTAGCTCGCCACGCTGCTCTTCCCTTCCTGTCGCGCCCAAGAGATGGATATTTCCCCTCGAGGTCGGGGACCGACGTGACCGGGGAGAGGTGCTGCGAGCCAGTCCCTCCAGCTGCGTGATAGTACCGATTCTCGCCAAACGACGCGAAGATTGGACCATTCGCGGTTGCACATTGGAAGAAACATACAGGGGTCTCGCCGCTCGAGGCGCATGGCGCCTGGAGTTGCCGCGATCAATTCTGGGAGCCATGTCCTTTCGCGAAGAGAGAAATCTAAAAACAACAGATGCCAAAAAAATCCCCCCAAAAGTGGTGGCACGAAGGAAATAAATCAACACCTACCTTGAGTCTGGCTCAACACAAAGGGAATTTTCTTTACCTGGTCGCATGCATCAATACCAGTCCCAGCAGCTGCATTCGGTGATCTAGACACATAGAAAGCGGCATTGTAGTAGTTTTACGACGGATGCAGTTCATTATCCGCCTTGGGAATAGTGCATCATGGGCGCATTGTCCCCTTCACAGCATAGCAACCATGTTGCATCCCAACGGCATCTGTGTAGTCCTTGACGAGGTATTGCGACATCTTTGCGCTGCCATGCGAGAAAAGATGAGACTTTGGTGGGTAATAAGGCGGAAGTGCTCCGCAAGCACCCGGGACACTCAGCTGACAGGGTGGTGGGAAAAGCGTTTGCGAAGGGGTACGTAGACGGCCCCGAAGACCCCGGAAAAGGACGTTTTCATGTGCGCATATTAATTAGTCGTTGGAAAAGGTATCTGCTGTTGTTCATAATATAATCTGGCCGAGAGTTATCCGAAATGCCACTCAAAGGGCGCGCATGGTGGATTGAGGTGTGTCAGACTCGTACAAGGAGGGCAACCACAACGACTTGTGAAGAATGTCGCGTGTCAAGTGGCGTGTACGAGTATTCCATGCCCGTGCCCGTAGGAGGGTCGTTCTGTCTGGCAAGGTTCCGGGGAGAGGAATGGAGAAAAGAGGAAAATGAACCAGTGCGCAGGTGATGGCCGATGATAGATGGATGGGGTGATGATTGGAGCCTTAGATGCAGGGTGTTTGTTTTCTGAATGCTTCGCAGCCTTTACCCCACACTTTGTGCCTCTACGCCAAGCTCCAGGCATCACAGTAGGCGCCGATCATTGGCAGCGGGTGCCAGGGTCCTGCTTCCAAGAGGCCACTAGGGGTGAATGACGCCCAGTCGTAGGCGACGCCAGGCTGTGGAACAACCGGCACGGCCTGGGGATGGCCTAGTGAGCTAATGCAGCCCATTCCCAGTGGATGCTTCCCCCAAACTCAACTACTTGCTGCTTGCTTCGGCGCCACCATAATCAACCAATTGTGCGTCAGAATCGAAGCTGGCTACGTGTTTATCGAAGCCCAAATGTTGCCCAGGAAAAGGAAAGCGAGCTGTCATGCTAGGAAATCTACGAGTAGAGTGTGAGCATCTTCTCCCCAGCTGCAAGTGGTGTGTGTGTGTGGGTGTGGGTGATGCGTTTATCTGTAATCGGTATCTCGTACCTCGTAGGGTCTGTGCATTCTGGCCCTTCCCTCCGAGTTGACCTCTTATGTAAATTGTCGTCCCTGTTCCCCCTTCACTTCTACTTGTTCTCTACCTTGCTCACATCTCTCATAGCCATCCTGATTGTGCCTCAACACCCCAAACTACGAAAAACCATCTATTAAGCCATTCTGATCGTCGTTACCGCCATTGTCTCCTCCCGTTCCGCCTGAAACACAAATCCCCACCAACCGCAGGCTGCTCACGCTACAATGACGTGACTGGGGGGGGGGAACTCCTTTGTCCTACATACAGTACCTGACCTTCTAGTCCTCGATCTTCACCCAACGCTGTCAAGAACACAGCTAGAAATCGGACCTATACAAAATACATTCTTCACTTCTTGAGTTTCATCTCCTTCAGGACGCCTACAATATCCCATTCAAGTCAGCTTCTCACAATGTCTGACCGCAACCCTGCTCCGCCCTCACCCCCTCCTCCACAACATCGCCGTCGCTCCTCGTTTGTTGACATGTTCAACCCGCGGTCAAGCTCCTCCCCTTCTGCCATGTCCTCGTCTCCGCCGTCTTCGGGTGTTCCGTCCACTCCCACTGTACCAAAACACCGAAGAGGCACCTCAATTACCGCTCTAGGCCTCACTACAAACCCCTCCAACCAGACCCCTCTCAATGCCTTTGGACTTCAACGACGAGCGAGTGTTGCCACCTCATCCGTATCAAGCTCTCCAGATTTCAAAAACAGTTTCGGGGATGAGCCTGCAGTTATTGAGGAGGATGACCCATCGCGGGCTACCCTACACCCTCCCTCTTCGCCATCTTTTGCCAGACGGGTCAGTTTCGGAGCACAAGCTTTAAGAGATGTTAGACTAGGAGGGAGCCCTGGTGCTTCTGGCGGTGGTAGGCGCCCCTCCTCCTCCCTTTTTACACTGAATGAGAATTCTGAAAATGCCACTCCATCGCGTCGAGATACGTCGGGGACGGCCAAGACTGCAGGTAAGAGTCGAGGCCTGTCCCTTTTATACCTTTCAAAAGTTCTCATTCTCTTTTTCTTGTCAACCATACAAATCAAATTGGGTTCGCTTTGCATATCACTGACGTCTAACAGGAGAAGGCTTCAATTGGTCTGAAGCCCTGCGTGACAGAACCCGACGCTCCCCGTCCTTTTCTTCCGGCAACCCTTTTGGCCAAGGCGCCCCTCGTCCACGCTCTGCAAGCATCTCCAACCCTGAGCCGCCGAAGGAGATCCCAAGGCCTGTTGAGGCACCGAATGCCAAACTGATGAAGAAGCCAGATGCCCTAGGCGAGAGAATGTTACGTGGCGATTTCATGATGGATTGAGTTGAACCCCTGGCAATGTCGTGCTGCTATTGGTATACACCCAGAATGGACATGTATATCCTATTCGAATGATGTATAAGTGATGCTTTGGTTTGTCGGCGCCCGAGGACGTTTGCAATTGGGGAACCATCACCTGTATCCATTAGCTCCTGGCGGTATCGTGTATGAGATCAATTTCGAATTTCAGCCGGATCAAAATTCAGTGGGTAGGTCAATATCAGGGAGACCAGGGAAGGCAAGGAAGGTACCAGGTGCTTGCTTCTTACGATCGTTTCACGGACATTTATCGTTGTGCTGGTCTGGTGACAGAAGGAGCTGTGAGATTTGGGAACAAACTCCAACATTTCGGCCGTGAAAGGCCACGTATGCTTGACGTTACAGCAATCCGAAATACTGAGAAACTGAGAATGCGATGAGCAAGATTGATGAGTGAATAGTTTGAACTTGCGATTGATTCAATGATCAGGCCACTCACACCTTACCATATCATATCTCTCACATTTCTTTTCCCCCTCGAGGCACTGTAGCCTGAACCTTCTATTGCCTTAATCTATGTAACGCTGGTGCCATGTCTTGCTACTCATACAGGCCATATTGACTACCCGACCTCAAATGTGCTGCTCCTGATGACATCATAGAGGCGGAGGATAGTAAATCCGATACCGAAACCCTGTTGTTCGCCTCCTCCTCCCCCGCCCTGCGACAGCAAACTGGCAGGGCATTGTACCACCAGCAATACTGTAAACTTCACCTCGTTCTCAAGACCGGAAATCCTTACAGCGGGCAATACTGGTGTATATCCCCTCAAGCACGTCATACGTGGTGACCATTGATCTCTGTTGGGTATGAACGGCAGCATCCCATCACACTGAACGGTAGTTGTGGCACTCAATTCGTGCTCCACATATTTTACCCTGCGTTATATCATTTCTGAAAAGATATTGGCTTCAATTGATCTGGCGGTAAGGTCAGGACCTCTTTATTTCCCCTCCTGCGCAAGAAGTTGGTGGTCAGCGTTCGAACCGACACCTACGCAAGCCTCTGACAAACCCCAATATCACCCTGAGAACCGCTGTCAGACCACACACCCGGCTACCAGCTACTCCTGAGATCCGCAAGGTCTCGCATTGGCCCTCGAAACCATGTCAGAAACTACAACAGTTGCAGAATATCTCTTCACACGCCTCAAGCAACTAGGTGTGGGCGCAATTCACGGCGTGAGTGTTTTACCCCTCGAGACGCCACTTTCTTTTATCTACTCGACAGAACGGGCTAACAGAGGTTGAAAAGATTCCTGGAGACTATAATCTTCACTTACTGGACTATGTGGTCCCTTCTGGCCTCCTCTGGGTGGGTAATACCAACGAACTCAATGCTGGGTATGCCACGGACGGGTATGCGCGTATCAAAGGTGTCGGAGCCTTGGTTACCACATTTGGTGTCGGCGAGCTATCAGCCATCAATGCCATAGCATGTGCGTTTACAGAGCGGGCAGCAGTTGTACATATAGTGGGCACACCTCCCCGAAACACCCAAGCATCCCGTTTGATGGTACACCACACTCTGGGGGATGGCGACTACCGACACTTTGCCCAGATGCAATCACACATTACCGTGGCACAGACCAATCTGATCGATCCGCTTACTGCACCTCAGCAAATCGATCACATTCTGGGACAATGCATATTACATTCCAGACCAGTCTACATTGAAGTTCCTCTGGATATTGTGTCAGCCCCGGTGGTCGCAGCAAGGCTTACTCAGGAGATGGAGATCCCAAGAGCACTCTACAGTCCTGCGTACGACGCGATATTAGACAAAGTCCTCGACAGGATGTATAGCGCAGAACAGCCCCTCATTTTCGTGGACGGAGAAGCGAGAGCGCTGGGAATTTTGGATCATATTGAAAGAATCGTGTCTTTGACGACATGGCCTACATTCACGACACTATCCGGCAAAGGCCTTGTCAATGAGACACTGCCAAATGTCCATGGTATCTATGCCGGGAGCTTCGCAGACCCTCGTACAAGAGCTTTCATCGACGGGGCAGATCTGGCCTTGTACTTTGGACCACACCTCAGCTCGACCAACACATATAATTGGACTGGTGTGCCGAAATCAGCGGTCTGCATCTACTTTACCTGGGATGGCATCAAGATTGGGGATATCCTCCATCGCGACATTTCGCCAGCATTTGCACTTACCCAAGTACTACAGAAATGGAACTCGGAAAGACTTAAGAAATACACCACCCATCCAACCTTCTCGCGCATTCAGCCTTTATCGTTCTCAGAAATTTCTGCGAACACGTCTATCGAGCAAGACAAAGTCTGGCGTCTCATTAACTCCTTCTTGCGGCCTGGGGATATCATCTTCGGTGAAACAGGAACAGCGGGATATGGCGTTCGGGAAATGCTCCTGCCTAGACACACAAGACTCTCCACTCCTGTCACCTGGCTTTCCATCGGATACATGCTGCCAGCCTGTCAGGGTGCGGCATTGGCTCAGCGCGAACTAATAGCCTCTTCGAAGTACCACGACCTCAAGCACGCTCGAACCATTCTCTTTATTGGCGATGGCAGCTTTCAAATGACAGCCCAGGAGCTCGCCACTGTCATCAGACACAATCTCAACGTGGTGGTTTTTCTGATCAATAATGACGGATACACGATAGAGCGCTGCATCCATGGTATGAAAGAAGCTTACAACGATATATCCGCGTGGCGCTACCTAGAAGCACCCAAGTTTTTTGGGGCTCCAGAGAACGCTTTCACTGCGTCCGCTAGGACGTATGGCGAGCTCGAGCAGGCACTGAATGACGAGAGACTCGCCGATGGAACAGGATTGAGAATGGTAGAAATTCACATGGATCGGTATGACACACCAGCTGGGCCGCTGACTACATTGCTCAACCTGCAAAAACACTCACAGAGTGCCAATGCGTGAGATGAAGGAGATACAGAGTGCGAAGTCGCCTGTTCGACCTGCGAGAGCCTTTGCACTCATTGTCTCATCAACCACCTTGGCTATTGGTCTATTCCATGATGCATTCAAGAGAGCATCCTACGGCTAGGCAACCAGCTTCATCAAATCGACCACAGCGACCTCATCGATCCTGCCAACCAAGTCACATATTTGTTGGGACTTCGTCGCCCCATAAACAGGCTCTGCGAGACCTTTGAACTTCTGCTGAACACCGGTGTCCCATTCAAATGGACGCTGGGTCTCTGCAAGGGGAAAGATCACTTCATCCTCGACGATAGTCCCATCCCCAAATACCACCTTCAGCCGAGACTCGAGGCTGCAATATGACTCATCAATCTTGCAAGTGACTTTGCGGGCAAGTTCGCGGACCTTCTCGTCTCGAATCTTGTCGTATATCGCCCAGCCAAGGTCATTGCCGTACAGCCACGAAGCAGCAACTTGATAGTACGAGCTAAATTGAGCGTCGACGATGCAATCTGGCTGGATCTTGTTTGGAGCTGGAGTCCCAACAATGGGGAAACATCCTGGAGGAAGGGAAACTGTCACCTGCTCCGGCAATCCATGAGCTGCATAGGCCTTGCGCATTCTCCCAACCATTTCTAGCTGCCCGTGGGTCATCCTGCATGCTGGGAATGGCTTACATGCCGTTGTGAGGAAACTCCACCTCTTTCCTAGGTCCCGAGTCAAATTGGCAGGGTTGCCCGATTCGGAGTAACTGTGAAGAAGCCCGTATTTGCCTTCAATCGCCTTGGTGGCGCCGATAACTCCAGCCTCGGCCAAGCTGATGCAGAGGAGCGCGTCGTGAGCTGCAAATCCAGGATGAAGACGCTTGTTCCAGCTGCCATTTTCCAAGAATTGCATGGATCCGGCGGCCTTGGAGAGCGCGAGACCGAAAGCATCTTCGACAATCTGCTGGGAAGACCCTCGGAGCTTGCTGATGGCTGCGATTGATCCATACAGACCGACCGTGCCTGTATTGTGGAATCCTCTGCGGTATGAGCCTAGTCCGAGGGCGGTCCCTATGCGACAGGCAACTTCATAACCCACCGCCAGAGCCACGAGAAGGTCGGCTCCAGTTGTGTTGAGGGTTTCGGCCTCGGCCAAAGCAGCGGAGATCAGGCTACACCCTGGATGGAGGATTGCTTCGGATGTTGTGTCATCAAAATCATACGTATGACACCAAGCTCCGTTCAGAAGTGCTGCATGCTGAGGCGGAAACGTCGAGCCCTTGGTCAAAACGGTACAGCTGCCTGTGGCACCTTGCGAGAACTTTGCGATTCCTGCCAAAAACTTGGGACTGGATTCGGCAAAGGCGCCCGCAGATGCAGAAACTCCGAGATAATCGAGCAGCAGTGCCTTGAGCTTGATTACAATCTCTGGGGTAACAGCGTCTTGTGAGAACGATGCAACAAATCTGGCCAAAGCAACAGTCACTTCTTCCGATGACGACGCACTCTGTTGGACGTCAGCGGAGGCTTCGTTCGTGCTGTCAGCCATATTCGTGAAGAAGAACGATTGAAAGAGCACAATGGTTTGTTATTGCTGTTGCTATCGTGGCCACAGGGCTAGAGCAAATTAAGTCTTCTGGGATGTCGAGCGATTGTTCTGGTGCTTCCAAAGCATATAAGAATAGACGATATTTTTTCTGAACGAGGCTGATTTGCTCTCCATGGGGATTGATCCCTCACCCCTTCTACCCTGAGGGTGGAGAGGGCGCAAAGAAAGCGCTGGAGTTTTCTGACTTGGGAATCCGTCGACCAGTGCACCGAAATGCGCATTTCGGACATCTTGGTTGTGATACGTGACCCATGGGTACAGGAGCCGTGGTGCGGATTTCCGAAATTCGGCTTTAACAGCTTTGCTCACGCCGTGGAAGGCCAGAACATCTTTCCCACTATTTTCTGTGCTCTTCCTATTGAGGCAGTGGAAAATGTGCATCATCCTGGGACTGATATGTTTCAGGGCGAATGACAGACACATCTATAACTTCTCCACGCAGAGGCCACTAACAATGGAATTCGGCAATCCCGAATAGTCCGAATTAAGGACTTGTGGTCGATGTATCGGCAGAGAAGCACTGGTACCTATGCGTGATGAACATTGTGGAGGTGGAATGAGCAAAAATGGTTCAGCATATATACCTGGATAGGTGTTTAGAGACCGCCACAGATACAAACGTGCAACTTATCATCACTATTGCCATTCACGAGTGTACCCTGAGAATCGACCTTGCTACTTCCCAATTTACCAAATCCAAAAATGATCTCCAAGTCGTTGCCCGAGGTTGAGCACTTTGTGCCTGTCCAGCCCTCGAAGCTTGTCAAAGACTTTGTCAAGTTGCGCACCGTGGATCTGAGTCGCTACGACGATGGTCCCGATGCCCGCAAAGAACTGGCGGAAGAAGTGAGACTTGCAATGACCACGCAAGGGTTTTTTATCCTCGTCAACCACGGTCTCAATGAGGAAGACATCTCACGCCAAGTCGATATTGGCCACACTATCCTGGCAAGGACCTCGGATGAGGAAAAGAACAGGTTGAAAGCGCCTATTGTGGAAGAAGGTTCCTATCATGGCTTCAAGCCTCGCGGGCACTGGATCGCCAAGGGCAACGTCCGTGACAAAGTCGAGAACTTCAACATCTATCGTGACATGACTCTCCGAGAGCAGCCATCTGTGAGTCTGATACAACTGAGTGCGTCTTGGGTCGAATTACCTAACCCGATTTACAGACTATGGAGCCCTACAAGCCTGAGATTCAGTCCTTCATTGAGTACACCCACAAGGAGATTCTTTACAAGCTTCTCCGCCTGTTCGCCATCGCTTTGAAAATCACAGACGAGGAGTTTTTCGTGAAGCTGCATCGCTACGAAGGCCATGACGAGACGTGGCTCCGATACATGGAGTATTATGACGAATATACAGACGAGGAAAAAAAGGTGACGGGCGGCCTCTGGCTCGGTGGTCATCAAGACTTTACAAGCTTGTCCATCCTCTTCAGCCAGCCCATGTCGTCCCTCCAGGTTCGAGATTACGACAATAATTCCGAGTGGACCTATGTGCCGCACGTCCCAGGTGCCGTCATCGTCAATGCCGGTGAGATCTTCAAGTGGTGGACTGGCGACTACTTCAAGGCGGCTATCCACCGAGTTGTTGAGCCTCCTGAGGACCAGCGCGGACACAATCGCTGCAGCGTCTTCTATTTCTGCGTGCCCAACGACGAGGTGGTCATCAACACCCTGCTCAAGGAGAGCCCCGTGCTGAGAGAGGCCGGAGTGCAAATGGCACACGAGCCGCAGAACGCGCCAACCAGCAAGGCATGGAGCAATGGCCGGATCAAGATCACTGGTCGTAATGCGGTCTGGGATGGAAAGAAGGAGGGGGAAAACATGGTGGTGGAAAAGGTGGGCACCGTCGAGACACGATGGTTCCGATAGAGGACCACGGCCCTTCGACGCGGGCCATGTTCTGGATTCGACAGTCTATCCTCTCCTCAGCCCTGGGAAGGACTGTGACTGTGTGGAAACTATGTGACTGGGTATCTTTGATCTGAGATAGTGATTTCAACAACATGTGGTTTTCCCTTGTGTGACGAGTACACTATCCAGTATCTATTTCTTCAGACTGATTGCTTCAACCAGTTGGCTCATATACACCATAAACTGTCAAGTCAAGGTCGTTCCTAGACTGCCGAGGCTGGTCTTGTATCTAACCATAAAGTATCGAGTACTATATTGCCCTTGTAACTTGTTCAAGTCACATGCATATCATGAAGAATGGATGTCACGTGTGTCCCCCATACATTTTCTCTTACCCGCCCCGCTGCGCTGCGCTGCGTTGAAATGAATCGAACTGAACTTCATACTCGATCGAAGGACTTCTGCCAATTCCTCTGGCCAACCTATTCTGCTATATTACCCTCAACGCACCACTGACTGACTACAAGCTGACTGACTACATCTGAACCTCCCTCCTGCTGCTGTTTGCATTCTTTTGTGATGCAGATCGACGCCGGACCAGTGTAACCCGATGGAGGCGGCTACCCCAGAGCCTGCGAAACGCTCAAGGATCAGAGCTTGCAATTATTGCAGGCAGAACAAGGTAAACTCCCCTCTCATCACCGGAGCTCGCCTGCTAATGGATCTCCTTACAGCTAAAGTGCGATGCCACCAGGAATTCCACCAAACCATGTTCCAGGTGTTCCCTTCGCAATATAGAATGCATCATTTCACACGATTTCCGCCGGGTTGGACGACCAAAGTAATTCTTCCCGAGCTTGTTGCTGTCGTTGTTGCGATCCTTCCCCGCTAACTCTGTGGAGGATGTATGAATTGTTGGCGGAAATCGACTCTCTTCGACGAGAGAAGCATTCAGCTCCAAGTCAGCCTAGTCCCCGTGTTTCTTTCCAGCCAGCTTATGAGGGCTTGCAACCAGACACATCACCAATCTTGACCCAGTTTCGTGATGAGGGCTCCGCACAGGAGCTTCAAACCTGGGAAATCGCAGCTGAAGAACCAGATCTGTCGTACAGAAATGCCCAAGACCCTCCCCTGCCTCTTGCGTCGACGACATCTCTACCACGTGTCTTGCAAGATCTATCAGTGTCGGGGGAGGATGTCGACGCTTGCTTCCAGATGTCCGTATCAAGTCTCCAAGCTGTTCTCTTCAGATGGCGTTAACTTCCCGTGACAGTTTCTTACAGCATTACCTTTCCTACGTGCCGATCCTAGAGAATTCATTACGTCCGGATGATTGTTATGTCTACTCTCCCTTGCTCTTCTGGACCATTCTAGCGATTGGTAGTATGCGTTTTGAACGCGATCCCACGTTGATCATTGCAATCGGTCCTATGGTTATGGAGCTGGCCAAAGATGCGGTTTTTTCCTGCAAGGACGTTATCGCCACCATCCAGTCATTCACACTACTCTGTACCTGGCCGATGCCGGTAGAGACTCTGGAACGGGACCCCTCTCCAGCTTTGGCAGGGGCGGCTCTACAACTAGCCATAAACAGTGGTCTTCACGTTTGGGGGATTGGTCAAGACTTCTCTCGCCGGAGACTCAACCCGGGTGGGCAGAATTCCGTGGATTTTCGGGCCAAGCTCTGGGTGAACTGCCTGATCGTCTGCCAGAGGTGAGCCATTCTAGTTCTCCTGCTGCATCGAGACGTGGCTCTAAACCTGTCAAGGGTAAACATTGCCTTTGGCGTATCTCCGCCAGTACTCCCTGACACGTATCAGCGAGAGAAATACAGTGAAAGACTATCTGCGACATTGACCCCCAGCATTGAATTCCAGAGGCGACTGTGTCTTATCCACAGTGAAGGCATCATAACTCTCGAGAAGACTTTGAATTCTAAAGTGTCCGATGCATATACTGTGGCTCTAAAGTCAGAGATTGAAAACATTGTCAGCGACTTGAAGAGTCTACGGACGAGAAGTCCATCTTCTTTTGGTAGGGAACTGGCCCCCTCCCTCCTCAATCATTCCTTGCTGATAGCACTAAGATCAATTTCTCCTGGACGGAGCTGTGCTTCAGATCTCTTGCTTCCACATGCTCCTTCCTCAATCGGCTCTCAGCAGTGAGACGCTGTTTCAACTGTATGACATTGCGGTCGTTTTCGCTGAGCTTGGAGCGGAGCTGGATCAAAAACAAAAGATTGCAGAGCATGCGCCTCCCTTCTTCTCGAGAATCATGTTCCTGGCATGCTGTGTGATATTGAGGATTGCAAGGTCGAGCTTACGCGAAGCCCTGGACCTCAAGAAAGGGCGTGAAGTTTACTTCAAGACTATCATCCTGCACAAAAGACTTTCGATCCGGCATGACGACGCTTACTCGAGAGCCACAGTCATTCTGTCCCAGCTCTGGTCAGGTAAGATGATTGAAGCGCAGACCAGGCGGAGCGCAGGCCAAGTGCGGGTAAAATGCAGGAGTCGCCTAGGCATGAGCTTGCTGTATGATTGCTGGTGGTATTGGCGGCAAGAATTCCAAGGACACCCAGACCCCTACCCAGATGAAGGTCAGTGAAGACACGTCTGTTTTCCTCGAACCAGACCATGCTAACGTGACAAAGAAAATCGGAGCGATGAGTCCGAAGAGAACATGGCACTTCAGGCGACTCCGACCTCTACGGACTTTGGTAACATGGATTTGTGGTGGCCGTCATACGAAATTTTCACAGGCACCAATGCCCAGGATGCGGACTCGAGGTCTGGAGGCCTGGGAAACTTGACTGAGTTGGAGCCCAATCTCGCCCCTGCATATCACAGCTTGCATACTTTGCCATCCCCGTTCGCTGCAGCAGGCAGGTCCGAGCAGTTTCCTCCCTGATACCAATATCCCCGCAATTAGGAGGGCCACCAGGTCTGACGCGTCCGGGATGAGTTCGAGAAGGAGGGAAGATCCCGTTATGACCCTCGCTTACGGTCCAATCATGGGGTTTTCATTGGTGGCCCAATTTTCTTTGGCCGTGGATCAAGAAACTGGGGAAACAGGCTGGGGAAGCGAGGAGAAATTCCGACAGCTGCGATTTTCGGCTTTCGCCTACTCGGACTTTCGGATTTCTATACCAATGATACTCACCTCGATACTCATCAAGATGGTCGAGATCCAGCGGTTTCGGCAGCCTCAGCATGCGAAGGTCGGCCTTGTTCGCGGAGGACTCTGGGGTTCGTTCTGTGGGGGATTCCATGATCGCAACTGTCGTGAGCCTAGGCCTAGGATAATAAATGGACTACTCATTGCCATATTGTTGAGCAGATTCCAACATCCGAATCTCTCTGAGCTACCTCTTGCCGGGAGCCTCTCTACAACCCAACATGTCGACCACACAGACGGAAAAGAATCCCGTCCCCCACGTGGAGATCTTTCATAACGAAGAGATGGGCGCCGAGATTGGAGTCGACAAGACGGCCCAGGATGAGCAGCTCCATATAGAGTCCTTTACGAAGAAAGAGGAACGCAAGCTTGTGCTGAAACAAGATTTGATCATTTTGCCGCTTCTCGCCCTGGCCCTCTTCTTTGGGTACCTGGTAAGCATCGATCCACTCTTGCAGAAAGGAAGTCTGATTGTGATACTTTTATGCAGGATCGCGGAAACATCGGCAATGCGCGAATCCTCGGGATGCAAAAGGACCTCGAGCTCACCGCTCAGCAATACTACAATATTGTCATGATGTTCTGTGAGTATGCTCTCTCCACGAACATTAGCCGGTGGCGCGATGGGTTGAGGTTGCTTGCTAACTTGGGCCATGTTTCTCCAGTCCTGGGGTATATGGTCGTTGAACTGCCAGCAGGCCTGGCTCTGCGTTATTTCCATCCGCGATGGGTGTTTGGGATCGCCGTCATTATCTTTGGAGTGTCTGCTGCCTCTGCCGCTGAAGCCAAGCACTACGCCACCTTGATGGGTCTGCGCGTGGTCATTGGTCTTGCGGAAGCGTTTGTCAACAACGCCTATATTTTTATTTCACTCTGGTACAAGCACTCTGAACTTGCATTGCGGACAGGTGAGCACAGTTGAGACCACGAAAAGGCCACGCTGCGGCAAATGCTGACACGTGGCAGCATTGATCTATTCACTCACGCCAGTTGCTGGAGCATTCAGTGGTGTCATTTCCTACGGTGTAGGTAAGAACTTGGAGGGCTCTTCGGGCATCAGGGCGTGGCAATGGCTATTCATCATCGAGGGAGTGATCACAGTGGGCATGGGGTTCGTGATCATGTCTTTACTCCCTGGCCTACCTGAAACTGTCTCCCACAAGGGTCATTTTCCCGGGTTCCGTGACCACAGACAGCGCCAGCTGATCCTGGCAAGGTTGAAATCTTGTAAGTTGACGCAGAGAATTGCGTCCCCTGACCACCTGCTAATGTTGTACATTTAGCTCAGAACAGTGCGGGCGCCAAGTTTCGCTCACGACAAGTCATCATCGCGCTCAAAGACCCCAAGATCTATCTCGGGGCAGCCATGATTGGATGCCAGGGTGTCGGCATCGGTGCCTTTGGCGTCTTTCTTCCAACCTTTATCAATGAATTCGGATTTGGACCCTTGGAGACGCAGCTGTATTCGATGATTCCATACGCATTTGGACTGGTTGGACTCCTCAACTGCTCCTGGTTGGCCGACCGACTGGGGCGCAAGGCCATGGTGCTCCTGGCGTGCCTTTCAACCACCATCACAGGCTTCATCATCTTGCTGTCGACGACGAACAAGGTGGCCCTGGTTGCCGGGGCTTGCTTCGTGACGACGGGAGCGTACCCCGGTCTGGCCATTGGTGTGGCGTGGTATCTGCCCTGCCACGGCGGCTACACCAAACGTGCGACGAGTGTCTGGATGAGCCAGATCTTCGTGCAGAGCTACAGCATCATCTCGACGCAGACGTACCGTGACCCCCCGCGCTTTATCCTCGGACATGGCGTGTCGCTTGGCCTGTACGGCGTCGCAGTCGTGTGCGTATTGATTCTCTACCAGATCTGCAAGCGAGCCAACGCGGCAAAGACACGACGGGCCGAGGAATACGAGGCGCGAGGGATCGAGGATCCGCTGGCATGCAAGGACATTGAAGAGCTGTGCGACTATCATCCAAAGTACATGTACGCGTTGTAGTGCTTTGGCGGTGTTTGCGAGGGAGAAGGACAAAAGGGCTGTCTGTCAGCAGCACCTGGGTGGTTGGTTGTGTGGTAGACAAGTCACTCCGGTCGACTTGAGCTGACCTGACTTGAGCCCAGCGGGAAAGATTGTCAAAATGTGCTGCAAGTTGAGTGCCACACACCCAGTCTTCTAGTAGTGGACAATGCAAGAAGAGATATACATTCCGTCTCAAAACATCCGAGTCCATTTTCCCTCTCTACTTCTTTGTACTCAGATACTTCAGATACCCAGCTACCCGACCACCCAATTACCCGACTGACTGACTGACTGGCTGACCTCACCCACGGAAAGCTTTGCCGAAGTCATAATGCGAATGTGTGCTCAAGGACCCCAAGTACAATGGGTAATTATCTATCCCGGAGGAGCGAGACGGAACCGCTTAAAAGGGCAATCCGGGAGGATGCTGCGAAGTGCAGATCCGGAATCTCTGATTTGGGAAGTGCCGTGCCGGTCGGTGTAGAGGCACTAAGTAACTAAGCGATCGGGTTGGGATTGCGTACCCCATGTGTCTACGGCGGCGTTACAAGTAGAAGACACAACTACAGGGTAGGTCGGTGGTAGGTCGGTAGTAGGCAGGTAGATAGGGAGGGTGGTACGCACCAAGTACTCGTAGGTTGTGTGCCCATAGTTCTATAGTTCCATGGTGGCGGCGGCATATTGTTGCTCCGCTCTGATTTGCTCTCATTACCGTGCCCCCCTCAGTTTTGGCCGTCTGGGAGACAAGGCGAGGAAAAGGTTAAAGGTACGAGGTACGTTCATGACGGATTGGTGACTGGACGCCTGGATTGTAGGCTCTGGACTCCGGACGCGAGGGTCGAGGGTCGAAGTCGAGGAGATCGCCGGCCCCTGTGTAGGTGCGTGGCAGCTTGGTATGTGTGCAAGGCTGTCTGGCATGGTATAGCCAGGTACAAATATACATGCAATAACTAGTACGTTGGCTCGCTACTCGATCTGACCTGGCCTGACCTATCCTGTCCTGTCCTGTCCAGAACACAACACAGAGCCCCAGATATCCAAGGGTGGTTGGTTGAACTTGCAAGAGCTGTCACTCTGAGTTGGACGAGGGCGCCGGATACATTCATTCATTCACTCACTCGTGTACTGATGTTTCATATGGATTAGGGCACAACAGTACCACACACACACACAAAAGATGAGGACTCGGCAGAAACAAAAAAGAAATCTCTTGATATCTCTCTGTTTCGACCCCTTTCCTTGCCTTTGCCCTTCCCCTTCCCCCTGTCCTTACTCCTCCCTACCTCCCTCCCTCTCTCTCCCCCTCCCCTTCTTTCAAAGACAAAAACTTTGCCACCCAACCCCTCCGCTATGGGGGTGGATGGTAAGTGAAACCCGCCTTGTGGCAGATTTTTTCCTTTTCATTTCGGGAGTTATTGAACTCCCCGCCTTTTTCCGGTGGCAGGGTTCCCTGATAACTTTTCCCTTTTTCCGAACCCGACGACCGGAGGATCGAATCGTGGAGGAGGAGGACCGGAGGATCGCCTACTTTGAACCCAATATTCCCAGCGCTAGTTTGTTGACTTCTGCAAGTCTCTTTCTCTCTCTGTTTTGTGGGGTTTGTTGACTCGAATAAAGTCTCTTTCCAAAGTAGGGGTCTTTGCGATTGTGAAAGACTTTTTCGGGACTTCCATTTATATGTGATTCTTTTTTCTGGGTTCAAATAGTGGAGAGCTTTACCTGCTGGGGGAAATGACGCCAAGGTTGGTGGGTGTGCCAGAGGGTGTGGTATAAAAAGAAGGGAAGGGCGAGAGGGAGGAGAGGAGGTGTTGTGACACTCACCACACTTACTGAGGATGTACTCCCTTCTCTGTGCATTACTCACATTACTCAACATGTCGACAACCATCAATCGCTATCGTCTTTCCTTGCACCTCGTGGTTGTCCAAGCCATGTCTTTTGCCAGGATACGAGGTACATTACTGCTCCATTCTGGAGATTCGAAGGGTAAGGGAGGCGTGGTGTAACCAGCGGGCATGAAGAAACTCAGTACAGCACCTACCTCCTAAACAGTCGCCTCCTACAATCGCGTAGCAAATCACCAAGGCACATTCTGTCCGTACCAAATACATAACTACATAGTCGTAGGTTGGAAGGTTGGTAGGTAGTCAGGCAGTCACATCATACATACATACCATTGTGTGGTGCGGGAGATCGGCGCCCAAGACTCGGTGCTCGGTCAATCCCCGGCCGGCCGACGGGCCGCTCTTCTCCAACATGGGGTCAACAGCCAAACAAGTGGGATGCGGAGAAAGCGTGATCCAACTTCATATACCACGTACATACTCGGTATGAAGTACGAAGTAGGTAGATCAGTAGGTAAGGGCATAGATAGAACCTTACCATATCTAACTGGCGAGCCTGGTCGGAAGATATCGTCCACGTGAATGGAAGACAGACGCCCGGGGATGGGGGACAAGTGGACGTACCTCAAGTCACTCGGTACCTCTCCCGATACCTCAACACTAAAAGATGATCCTACAACGAAGTATCCGCTGTTGAGCTGGCCACTCACGCTGCTAGTTCTATTTGAGACCATAACACTTCCACTTCATGGCCCACCGAAGCGCCAGGGCCCATGGATGATCTGCGCTAACCCCAGCATGCATAGGCTATCGCATCGCCTCCAAACCCGGGCTCGCCCCGTTCAATTCTGCCGGATGCCGTTTTGATACTCCCGTCTGCCACACAGCATCGCGTGAGAGTCGGAGAGTCGACGTCGGCTGCGGCTTGCCAACATTGTCCCGTCCCTCTCCTCATTTAGGCGAGTCTGATGAAAAGCGGTGCGATGGCAAACGTGGATATAAGTGAGGCCCAGCACCCCACGTCTCCATCGTCAACACAACCTGCAAGTAGAGACTTGACTCTTTGTGAAATCGCAACCCCCAGAAAAACCGAGAAATGCCTCTGTACGGACGTCATATGGTATGGGCGTAAGTGCAATTTCTTTCCACTTCGCATTCTGACAAATTTGTTAATTGATATGGCCTCAGTGTGTGCCTTGTTGCTGGATTAGGCATCATGTTCGAGGGTTATGACCAGGGCGTCATGTCCGGGGTTAACATAAGTCCCTCGTACATTGTATGTGTTTCTGAGACCCTCTCATACAAAGAAACCGCTGACCATTTTGCAGGATCTGGTCAAAATCGGCGATGGCGCAACCGGGAATATCACAAGACCGACAAAGCAAGGTGGTCTTGTCTCCATCTACTATCTCGGTACCCTCCTGGGAGCACTGATGTAAGCTCTGCCCGCTTACTCCCATCACGACTGATCCAGGGGTTGAGCTTTGTTGAACAGGGGCGGGGCGTTGTCCGATAAGGTAGGACGACGCAAAGCCATATTCTTCGGCTGTCTTTGGGGCATCTTTGGTCAATCGATGCAGAGCGCAGCTCAGAATGCTCCCTGGATGCTCTGCGCCAGATTGATCGGAGGCGTTGGAACTGGCTGCATCAGCGCAGTCATTCCAGTCTGGGGCTCGGAACTTGTCGCTCACGAAGTGCGAGGCATGGTGATGGCCTTCGAAATGTTCATCAACTTTGCCGGAATCTCGACCTCCTGTAAGAAACCTCCATCTCTTGTTATTTGCTCTGCTGATTGTCATAGACTGGCTCGAGTATGGGCTGAGCTTCGTAAACCATGGAAACACCGACGTTCGGTGGCGATGTAAGCCTTACGAATTTTGTCCGCAAGTGGCTCGACTGACTTTTCCCCTCAGTTCCTCTTGCTTTCGTCACCATGTGAGCATTTTTGAGTCACTCTACACAATGGTCGTTGACATGTAGCAGTTTTCTGATCGCCTTGATGCTCATCATACCCTTCATGCCAGAAAGTCCACGGTCAGTCGGCTAGATCTATTCTTTCAAACCCAACAGTGCTGATCTGAGTCGACAGCTGGGACATTGCCAATGGGAAGCAAGAACGTGGCAGAAAGACCCTGGCAGTCTTCCGCGCTCAAGGAGATATTAACCAAGCAGAGGTCGAAGCTGAATTCAACGAGATTGTCGCCGCCGTCGGTCAGTTCACACCTCCCATGGAGATAGAAGTGTTGCTGACAATCATCGCTGCGTCTAGAACTGGAGGCCGAATACCCGGCTCGGAGCTATTTCCACTTAGTCACTGGAATCAAGAGTGGCGATCTTCATCTCGGACGGAGAGCATTTTTGGCCGCGTGGCTGCAAATTATGCAGGCGTGGTACGTGGATCGGTGCGGCTAGCTGTCTTGCAAGTTCTGACTGGATCATCTTCTATAGGACCGGTGTCACAAGTGTGGTCGTATATGCTCCCACACTTTTCCGCATTGCTGGCTTCAGTGCACACAAAGTGAGGTGCACTGGCAATCCCTACAGATACCCTGCTGACAACTTGGTTTAGGCAAACCTCCTGACTGGCTGCGCAAACCTAGTCACCATGGTGTGCTGCGCATTTGCTTTTGTGACAATCGATCGTTACGGCCGTCGCAAGGTCCTCATGGCTGGTGGGTTTGGACAAAGTCTGTCGTTCTTCATCCTCGGTGCTCTGTCCAAGGTCGGAGAGGACAAACACAGCCAGTCCATCGGCGCCGCCGCTGGCTCATTTGTCTTCATTTACAACGCCATATTTGCGGTAATATCAGTTCGCCTTTCTGTTCATGACTCCCGCTCATAATTCCCATGCAGGCAACGTGGCTCAGTGTGCCGTGGGTGTACCCGTCAGAGATCTTTCCCCTTGCTATCCGAGCTAAGGGAAATGCATTCGGTATCATTGGTATGTTGAATTCGTCCGGTCACAAAATGGATTCTAACAGACGTTCTCTCAGGTTGGAGCCTGGGTTGTGGCTCTGTCTCTCTCGCAGCACCTGTCATGTTTAAAGCGTTAGGCCCACAGGGTTTCTATATCCATGCCGTCTTCAATCTGCTAGCTGTCGTCATAGTATTCTGTTTCTACCCAGAGACCAGTTGCCGGACATTGGAAGAGGTATGTGGCTTTTTGAACAGCATCGATCATGCCAGACCGTCATCTGACTCGCATACCCAGATCGATCTCCTGTTTGCCAGTAAGACACCATTCGTCTGGGAAACCGAAAAGAAGTTCCAAGAGCTTAAGCTCCAACATTCGGCTCTCGTTCGTGGAGGACAAGACGTCAAGATCGTCGCCGAACACCTTGAAGCAGGAGGACTTGATGGGAAGAAATACTGAGCGTGGAGGTGTATGGCCGACCTGTGAAACTGTTGAGATATTGGGGTTCGTGTCTGTCGAGTTGTGTAGGCTCAAGGGCTTCTCTAGGTGCCAATAGATTCGGTAGGTATGCCGGGGATGTACCTCGTGCCAAAACCGCCAAGAGGTGGCAGGGGAAGCTCGGGGCGAGAACCGATGCCGCAGGTGGCAGGTTCAACAGTCAAGCCAGTAAATGCGGCCCGTCATCAACGAGTGGCTTGAACGCCGTAAACGCCATAATAATATCCAACCTGCAACACCATCTCACGGATTCAAATTAATGGCGCCATGGTGATAGGGGCATGATACATACATCAAGGACTTGTCATCTGTTTCTGCCACTCTTGCCTCACCCTTCCTCCAAACATTCTCCTGCCTGTGCATCGTTTCAGTGATTACTGTCGCAGAGCAACTCGACCAGCCTTCCCAGTACGACTGCGCCCGGTTATCACAGCAACAAGTCACCGCTGTCCGACCCCAAGAAGCCTGGTCGTTCTGTGGCTGTGTGATCCTAGTCTGCCATTTCGTGCACCATGTTCTTCTGAAAGCATGGCGACTTGCCTAACATAATTGTCCCTCAAACCTCACCTTGCCTTCTCTTGACTTCACCGGCCTGGAGCGGACAGCTCGGAACGTGCCCTCGTTTTTGACCAATTGCCGCCTTGTTCGTCTTTCTCAAAAGAACCCCAGTCACCACCGTCGACAAAATGACCATGGAGAAGATTGTGAAAGGCGCCACAAAAATAAAGGTCAGGATGTCGCGCAGACCGCGCGAAATCGACTGGAACAGAGCTGACGGGGTGCTAGTTGGCCGCGCCCAAATCCAAGTATATCGAGCCGATACTATCTGCCACAAATGGCGGAGAATCAGGTGTCGCCGAAGTCTTCCGTACTCTACAACTCCGACTAAGAGACTCGACATGGACGATTGTATTCAAGGCGTTAATTGTGGTTCATCTTATGATAAGAGAAGGTCAGCCCGAGGTCACTTTGAGGTACATATCCGAATCACCTAAGAGATTGGCAATCAGCAGCTTCACCGAAGGTATGCAGAACGCAGCAAGATGTCATTAGGAAGCTTTGCGCAAAGTCTAATAGGGAAACAGTCCAAACTCAAGGTCTCAATATTCGAAGATATTCGGAATACTTGTTGGAAAGAGTACGAGCTTTTCGAGATACGAAGACGGACTTTGTCAAGTCAGGAGCGGGAAAGATGCGCAGATTGACCGTTGAGAAAGGGTTATTGAGACAGACTGAGGTTGTGCAGGATCAAATAGAGGCTTTGATTCGATGCGACGTAAGTTGGAATGACCGTTTCTGACTCCAAACTCGACTCACCCTTGCAGTTACTAGGAACTCATGACCCGGAGAATGAGATATCATTGACGGCCTTTCGTCTTCTGACCTTGGACTTGCTCGAGCTGTTCAAGGTGATGAACGAGGGCACCATCAATGTTCTAGGTGAGTAAGGCGATCGGATGGAGACCGTCATAGCTAACTCAGACGCAGAACACTACTTCGAAATGTCTCGTCCTGACGCGGAACGGGCATTGCAAATATACAAGACATTCGGAAGGCAGACCGAACTGGTGGTGCAGTATCTCGGTGTCGCCAGACAGTATGAGACGTCCACGCGCTTGGAGGTCCCGAGACTAAAGCACGCACCAACAACTCTGACCAGTGCCCTGGAAGAATATCTCAACGATGCGGACTTTGAACTGAATCGAAGACAATATCTGGCGCAGCAAGAAGCGAAAAGGACGGGTAAGCCAGCTTCGGCCGCGCCGTCAGCCAATCCATTCGACAAACCAGCAACGAAACAGGCAGCACCGGCCTCAGTTGCAGCCAGACCACAGCCGGCTCAATCGGTGCCCAAGGGACCTGCGCCTGATCTGATTGACTTTTTTGAATCCATCGAGCAGAATCAGCAGACGATGGGTCAGACCAACACGAACGCACAGCCTCAATTCCAGCAGGGAGTGCCACAAGTTCACGGATACCAGCAAGCGCCTATGCCTCAACAGACGGGCTACAATCCTTTCCTACAGCCGCAGCCAACTTTTCAACCTCAGGCTCTACCGCCACCCCAAGCTCAACCCCAGCCTCTGCAGACAGATTTCACAGGGGCGGGGTTCGGTGGATATGGACCTCAACCGCAGCAGCAGGTACAATCAGCAGGCGCTTACCAATTTTCCTCGCAGCTATCGCCGATTCCTCAGAATGGCGTCGCAAACTTCCAGTCTCAAGTCTTTCCACCAGCTCAGCCTGCATCGCTACAACCACAGACGACATCCACCAATCCGTTTCGACAGTCCACGATGCACACTGGAGGTGTGCAAATTTCCCCTGTTAGTCCTGCTGTTCCTGTCCGGTCGTCGACCAATCCATTTGCTAAGCACAACACTGGAGCGATTTCCAACAACGACCATGGGGCAGGGATGGTCCATGACCAAGCGGGCTTCTCTCCTGTCTCTCCCGAGCAATCTTTCCCCTCCAACCCATCTTTCCTCTCGTCACCTCCGGCGCTGCAACCTCAAAGAACAGGCACAAACCCTTTCGCGAAGAACCGACCAACAACATCAGGAGGTCCAGTGACAACCAACGTGACGGGAAGCACCAACCCCTTCCGGCAGAGTGCGTTTGTCAATCAACAGACAGGTCAGGGGTGGCAGCATAGCAACCAAGGTACGCTACTGGGATTTGACGTGAACAATGTAGACACAGTGCCGGTCTTCCCACGGCCAGGACAGAATTGAGGAAGCTATAGCACTCGTAATCGTAATGTGGGGTGCAGTTGGATGAAGGGAATGAAGTGTACTTGTACTTAAGGGCCTACAACCATGCAGAACTGGATTGTTTGTTTTTTTTTTGCGGCGGGGGGAATGGGAGGTTGTGATAAATAATGTAAGGCGCGCAAGGCCACGAGGGACTCGAGTTGCCACCGTCATTTGACTTTGAAATTCCATCGTGATCGTCCAACCTCCAATTTCCGCCACCCTCGTTCAATGTTGAATCTCTATTTATCACCATGTGCCAGAGACGACACGACTGAACAAACACGAATCGCCATTTGTGACTGCATCTTCTGGCTGCCGTTGACCATGAATCTGTGGACCATGTTCCCCTTCAGCCACTTCAGAAGTCACCCTACGGCTTGATGCCGTGTCCTCGGCCTGACTGGATCGCCTGTTCGACACCCGCTCTCCTCTCACAAATCAGAAACGACCGCCGCCGTAAGTCGCGCCTGCTTCTCGAGATCCAATAGAGCTTCCTCCAGATGCTAGTGCTTCTCCTCTCAATTGCTGCTGACCGACTTTGAAAGATGGAGGACGGCAATGTAGATCACATTCCGACCCTCTCCATCATCCCCTACGACAACAACCGGGAGATCGTGCTGTAAGTGACACACATCAGGGAGAATTGGAAACACATACAACAAGGGCAATACTGAACTGATGAGACTAGCCGCCACGCAGACACCATTGTCTACCGCGACCCGAGAACGAACCAACTTGTCCCATTTCATAGAAACCAAGATGTAGAGCGACGCTCCTCGGACTGTCCAACCTGTGGCCGACCCTGGCACAGACCACCAGGATCGTCGAGCACCCAAGAACCCGGTCCAAGTACAATGGAAGACCAACCCAGCTTTATCACAGAGGGCTACTTTGAGATGCTTGCTCGAAGCCTTCCTGGCTCCAACGAACCATCTGCACCGCCCTCTCCGAGACGTCGAATCGTCCAACCAGTCCGCTCTCGACTTCACCCTTCGTCAGCCACCGTGTCTCCGCCTCCAAATGCAGAGTTCATCGCCAGTGCGCCAATCCCTGCCAGTCAGTCCCATGGAATCTCCGAGACAGCTTTTTCGCCCAACTACTTTGAGAAGTTCTTTATCGAAGAAAGAGAGCTCGGGAGAGGTGGGCGAGGGGTCGTACTCTTGGTCAAACACGTCCTCGACGGCGTTACCCTCGGCCATTTCGCGTGCAAACGCGTACCCATTGGAGATGACCACGCGTGGTTAGAGAAGGTCCTTGTCGAGGTCCAGCTTTTGCAGACTTTGTCACACCAAAATCTCGTCTCTTACCGCCACGTATGGTTGGAAGATTTCCAAACCAGCACTTTTGGCCCAAGTGTGCCTTGCGCGTTCATTCTACAGCAATACTGTAACGGCGGAGACATGCAAAACTACGTCCTGGGCTCCGCGCAAGCATCCACGACGACGCAAGAACTAAAGGAACGAATTCGTCGCAAGTCGAGGGGAGAATCCGAGCTTCCGCGGCGGGCGAATGAACCCAAAAAGTTGCCTTTTGACGAAATTTACAACTTTTTCAAAGACATTACCTCGGGATTGAGACATCTCCATCACAACGGCTTCATCCATCGGGACCTGAAACCGAGCAACTGCCTCTTGCATACCGTCGGTGGCGAAACCAGAGTCCTGGTCAGTGACTTTGGCGAAGTTCAATACGAGTATGCAACGCGAAAATCAACTGGTGCTACTGGGACGATATCTTACTGCGCGCCCGAGGTGCTTCGACGCATCTCTCCAGGTGGGCCTTTTGAGAATTTTACTTCCAAGTCGGACATCTTCTCATTAGGCATGATTTTACACTTCCTCTGCTTTGCAAATCTCCCCTACAACTCGGCAAATGTCCTTCATGAAGAGCGCGAAGACATTGAAGAATTGAGAGCAGAAATTACCAACTGGGGAGGATTTGACGATCAGCGCAAATTGCGTCCCGAGTTGCCGCGTGCGCTTTACTCGTTTCTCAAACGACTCCTGTCCCTGAGCCCGGATGAGCGGCCCAGCGCAGACGATGTTCTCCAGGTCGTCTCGTCAGGTAGACTCGACGACATCCCCGTGGTACGGAGGCGGAGCTCGATGGAGCCGGAGGAACTGACGCCGGCCCGCCGGATCCAGAAGCTGGATACACCGCAGAAGGGAAACTCGCCACAAGGCAGACACGGTCATGACATGAGTC